TTTTTTTTTTTTTTTTTTTTTTTTTTGGTGATGGTGGTAGTGGTACTGGGAATTCACCCCAGGGCCTTCACACTGAGCTACGTCCCCAGCCCATTTTATTTTGATATCCTCAAGTCTAACAAAATGGAGTTTTTATGTTCTAGGATGAGCTTACAATGGTTTTCCTAAAGGAGATGATGCAGCTGTATTAACTTATTTTATGAGGCAGCTGTCTGGAGCCTCACTGGGTAGTCTTTGGGGTGCTTGTCCTGTGACTTCCATATATAGACATGTTATTAAGGAATGGTTCAATAACTAAGCCCTTTTGGGTGAGACCTATTAGATTCAATTAGTGTCCACTGAGAAGGCATGGTGGTACATGCCTATAATTCCAGAATCTGGAGGTTAAAGCAGGAGGATCAGGAGTTCAGGGCCAGCCTAGGCTGCCTAGTGAGACTCTGTCTAAAAAAGACAAACAAACAAAACAACTTAATCCTTGTAGGAGCACTGAAGAAGATGCTCAGATAACCAAGAAAGCATGAGAAATAAAAGTCCCCTGCTTCGGTGGATGGGTGGGTTGTATTAGAGAACTAGAAGGCTAAGTATATTTTCTGTATTTATTTTCTATTTTGAATGAACACAAAGTTATGGGGTACCAAACTGTGATTACTTGAGGAAATCTTTGATGGCTGATGCCCCAATCTGTCATACCTCACTTCTACCAATATGCTTGTAGGCGAATCTTTCACTAAAATAAGTAGCTTGGCGTCAAATCAGCACCAAATGTGGGCTTCAGTAGAGGGTTGAACATTCCTCAGTACAGGGCTTTCAGCCACTGACTCAGGACAGGTGGGCACAGGGCGGGAGCAATGGGTGCTGTATACCTCGAACCCTCCTCTCACTTGGCAGGAGGCAGTTCCTTCAAATGAAATGATTCCTCCTCTCTGGCTCTATTTACTTCATTAACTTGTTTACTTACAGGGAGCCTCACTCTCAAAACAAGAGCCACATACACAAGCTAACTACCTGTTACTTTGCTCACAGGCATCCCTAGACCATTCATTACTATTTCTGGTGAGCCCAGTATAAAAAGGCTGCCCATTCCTCCAGCAGTCAAGCACAGGGTTCAAACATTAGTTTTTGGCAAAAAGCAAGGGAAAATTTTTTGAGAGAATGACCTCTCCCTTGACTTTTAGCTTGTTCTATAATTATATAACTGTTCTTTGAAAAGCATGAAACGGGCTGTGGGAGAAATTTCTGTCTGGACCCTAGAATGAATTTAGCTTGCCCCTCGTGGTTGTGATCGTGACTGTGGAGCTGGGCACCATGGTATGCACCTGTAATCCCGCTACTCGGGAGGCTGAGGTGGAAAGATGACTTGAGTCTGGGAGTTCAGGGCCAGCCTAGGCAGGATAGCAAGACAAAAGAAAAAATGCCTGTAGCTACAGGCCCAGCTCTTCCCATTTGTAGAAAATATCACTTAATTGGCAAAACCAGTCCCCGCAGCCAAACCAATTAAACTCATTTCTCTATTAGAAAAAAGTTAGCTTCATTTTTTTTCCAACTAAAAAAAGAAAATTGTAATACTACAAGGCCTTCCACTTTTTTTTCCTGTGATGTGAAATTCTAACATAGCTTGCTGTCCCTGCACAGAGGCTGGCAGTGAATTTGTCAAGTGGATGAAACACAATGTAACCCTTTCAGTATGTATCTATTTGCTTTCAAGAGATTCTCCCGCAGGCAGGGCCCATTTGCTTGGGGTCAAAGCACATGTACAGTTCAGGATGGCTGAAGGATAACTTGGGAGAGCTAAGAGCAGTTTCGAGGAGAAAATAGAAAAGAGAAATCCCTTCAATCCAACCCATTCGCAAGCAGGTCACCTTGGGCAGAGGGGCCACTGGTAGCTCAGAATCTGCAGATCGAACCCATTAATACTCAGGAGACCTAGACTCCAGTTTAAAGACTGTGGTTTTGCAGAACCTGGTTTTATCTTATGGACTACTGGTTTCAGAGTGTAATGTTCAGGAAATGTAGAGAAAAAAATATTACAAATTCTATTTTTTGGTACCAGGGATCGAACTCAGGACCTTACGCTTGCAAGACAGGCAACAGAACCACAAAAAATATTACAAATTCTATTCATACTTTTTTTTTAGGCAATCCTCTTAAACTTTCTATTTTGGTAGATGTTTATTATTTATGTAAAATATAATAACAAGCAGACAATTTTAAATTAAATTACATATGTAATTATATGTGCATGTGTGTACATATGTATGAGAGAGGGAAAACTTTACTACACTGATAAGCACATGTAGTCGCACAAAATCTGGGACTCTGGGAATTAGGAACAGTGAGAAAACAGTGAAAGCTTTTGAATAAGGGAGTAGGAAGGACAGATTGTTGACTGGAGGTGATAATAAGGAATAGTGCCAGTGCCTGCCTCCAAAGAGCTGGCAGTAGGTAGAAAAACAAGGCAGAGAGTGAACCATAAGTAATGCACAGCTAATTAAAGGAAGGATGATGAAGAAGAAATTTAATAAAGCATTTTAAAAAATTATCATTTCAAGGGGCCAGGGTGTACCTCATTGGCACCACACCTACCTTGTAAGCGCAAGGCCGAGTTTGATCCCTGGGACCAAAATAAATCTCCTTTCAGACATACACTGTCTACAGAAAGAGCTGAATTTCAGCATGGCCTCACCACACTATGTTCATTTCAAATTCCACACATCTGTTTGGTCATGTTCTTTCCTCTATGTCTTTAACACCAGATTCATGTTTAGCTTCTCATTTGGGTGACCATGAACTTCAATTCATTGAAGAAACACAAATATAAAACCTTGTGATTAAAGATTTGTCTGTGCTGGGAATTTAGCTCAGTGGTTCCATTGCCTATCTTGAAAGAGCAAGGTCCCGAGTTCGATCACCAGTACCAAAAGAAAAAAAAAAAAAAGATTTATATCTGTGAACCTGGTCTTTTAGAAGACATTTACAATGCAATGGTTAAAATGTCCAGGGAAAAAGGAAGTTGGAGGGACTAATCTGAGTAACTTCCCTATTTTTAGTAATTCTAGTATGAACAAAATTTCCCAGAGGGAGGAATTTTTTAAAGTTCCCAAAGAACACCATAAAAAGGCATAATAATACTGATGGTTGTGTAAAATAGGTCCAATCTCAAAGGGTTTTTGTGATCTTATCCCTGCATTCCCTAAGGTTGTCTGTGCAAGCCTGAAAAGAGAGGAGGCATTCTGGACTCACAGTCTGAGCAAGAGCTCAGCCTCCTGACAAATGCTGGGTTGGAAAAAAGAACCCAGAAACATCCAGCCAGATGCCTACTCAGAACTTACCTTTCTTTACAATAACAGTCGAAAGAATAAACAAAGCATCTCTTTTCCCTTCTCTGCTCTTGTGCCCTAACAACAAAGACTTCAGTGACCTCAAAAAGCGTGGGGATTTCTCCCCAGCAACAAGCTAGCAGTGACACAAGCTGAGGTCCTCAAATCCAATCTAGTTCTGATACTACCTGGAAATAGTGTCAGAGCTACAGATTGAGGACTTAGTCCCCAGTACTTCCCTGACACACGTACGCACATTGTAGATGGCAGTCACAAGCCCCAGGAGGCTTAACCTGTGCTTCTTACTGATCCACTGTAAATCGGGGTTCCCATAACTACCTCTTTGGCTTTAGTTAATTTGCTAAAATTAACAGAACACAGGGAAACACATTTATTGTTTTATTACAAAGGACCCAGAAGAAGAGATGACAAAGTACGTAGGAGTGAAGCAAAGCGTACTGTGCCCTCCAAGCACACCTCCCTCCAGGAGCCTCTGTGTTTGGCTGTCTGAACCCTGCCCTTTAGGGTTTTTATGGAGACTGTATTGTGCAGGCAAGGTTGACACATGGACAGAGCTGTCAAAATGTGACTGAAGAGGCTGAGGCAAGAGGATCATTGTGAATTCGAGGCCAGCCTGGAATACATAGTGAGTTCAAGGCCAGGCTGAACTACACAAGAGACCTCTCAGACAAACAAACAAAAAACTGAAAAAAATGTGACTGCATGTAAAGGGTCTGACCTGGTGCTAATGGACTCAGGGGGGTAAGTAAACCTGGCAAGGCCTGTGTGTTTCAGCCTTCTTCTTGACCTCTCTGTTCACTCTTCGTCCCTCCAAGGAAGGGGGCAGAATCCCTTTGGCATGGGAAGGGTCGTCTGACCTACTTTTGGAGAAGGTTGAGTCAGAATTTCTTTATGGCCAGTGCCTTAAAGGTGGGGGCAGGGGCAGAGAGTAGGATTTGTGACCCACCTTGGGGAAGAGAAATTCTAGTTTCTATGGCTTGCTTTGAAGAGGAAGTTATGAGCCAGGAACCATGAGTGAAAACCTATATATACATATCATATCACAGTAACACCATAGGTGTTATTTCATAGGTGTTATAAGTGATGAACCTAGAGTTGGAGAAGATGGTGCCCTTCTGAAGTGTACCGCTGCTAACAGAGCTGAAATTCAGCCCTGGTCTGCTTTTGAGCCTGTTTTACTGCCCAGGAGGTAGCTTGTAACTTTTCACAGGACAGCTTCAAGAGGGTGGCAGAGGTGAAAGGCAAATTACAAAGGGTTTACTCGTGTATTCATCAAATAGTTATTGAGGAGGGTGCTGTTCCCCCTAAAAGACAACTACAGAGCTGGAAACACAGTGAACAAAACAACCACAGCCAATAGATCACAGGCATATAATAGCTGAAGAATGTTTAACTTGAAAACTCCTCAACATCACACAGTAACAGTGGAAATCTGTGGCATGCTCGCTAGTGGATGCTGCCATTCCCACCTCTCCCCTCTCAAGACTTTGCCAGGAGGGGGATACATCCAGGAGCAGTTTTGTAGTCAAAGACACTTCAGGGGCTGGGGATGTAGCTCAGTGGCCGTGCCTGCCTGGCAAGTGCAAGGTCCTGAGTTCGATCCTCAGTATGGGGGGAGGAGGCGCACACCTGTCCCTTTGGAGCAGGGGAAGGTCATGGTCCTACTCTGAGGTTACAGCTGTGGCTGGGCAAGCACATTTCTGACTGAAGTTGTTCACATTTACACTGGAGAACACAGGGCCCAGATTCCACGTACTCCTGGTTGACCCTGAAGCTGCCTACACAGAGGAAGGAGGAAGGAAGGGAGGAAGGAAGGAAGGAGCCAGGCATAGTATTACCTGGCTGTAATCCCGGTATTCTGGGAGATTGAGGCAGGAGGATCAAAAGTCCAAACCCAGCCTGGGCAATTTAGCCACTTAACAAGACCCTGCATGGAAAAGAAAAAAAAGGCGGGGGGGGGGGTTGGGATATAGCTAAGTGTAAAGTCCTTGGATTCAGTTCCTAGTACTGGGATGGGATGAGGGGGAAAAAAATCTATTTAAGAGTTAAATGTCACAGTAACACAGAAATGAATATTTAACAGAAAAAGAAGCTTTAAATGAAACAGAAAGGAACAAAAATAGGAAGAGAACATATAGAAAAACAAAGACCAAAATAGCAAATATAAATCCATTCACATGCCAGGCATGGTGACACTAATTATAAATGGTCTGAATGCCTGAAGAAGACAGAAAGGAAAACACAGAAGTTGCCAGACTGGATGGAAATCCAAGATCCATCTATAATGTGTCCACAAGATACATTTTAAATGTAATGCTACTATAGATTAATAGTTAAAGAATGGGAAAAGGTAGAAAGCTGATATTGATAACAGAAAAAAATAGACTTAACAATGTCCCTGCCCTTAAAAAATGCTACTAGAGGGCTGGGGATGTAGCTCAGTGGCACAGCACCTGCCTGGCAAGTGCGTGGTCCTGAGTCCAATCCCCAGTACCTAAAAAAACTATCAGAGACAAAGAGGGATATTTAATAAAGATAAAAGATCAAATCAGGGCCAGGGATTTAGCTCAATGGTGCTGCCACCTGCCTCACAAGCACAAAGACCCAAGTTAGATCCCCAGTACCCCCCCCGCCGCCAAATCATTGGAAGATATAACAGTATAAACAGCTAGGTGTCTAACAATAGAATTCTAAAATACATGAAACAAAAACTAACAGAGGACCAGGGATTTAGCTCAGGGGTTCTGTTGCCTGCCTTACAAGCACGAGGTCCTGAGTTCTATCCCTGGTACCCCCCCCAAAAAAAACCTAACAGAATTGAGGGAAAAGTTAGACAATTCAATAATAATGTTTTAGGGGCCAGGGATTTAGCTCAATGGTTTCACCGCCTGCCTTGCAAGCGTAAGGGCCCAAGTTCGATCCCCAGTACCATAAATAAATGAATAAATAAATAAATAAAATGTTTGGAACTTCAAAAATCCACTCCGAATAGTGACTAAGACAATTAGAAAATCAGCAAGGACACTGAAGACTAGAACAAATCTCCAGGATAAACCATATATTGAGACATAAAATGTAAGTGCTTAACAAACATAAATCAGCAAACTATCTCCTCTGACCACATAGAATGAAGTTAGAAATCAATAACAAAAGAAATCTGAGAAATCCCTAAGTATTTGGAAGTTAATTTGGAAATCTGTAACAGAAAGAAATCTTAGAAATCCCCAAGTATTTCGAAAATAAACAGATTTCAAAATCATCCATGGGTCAGAGAACCCTTTAAGGGGAATTTTAAAATATTTTAAACTGAATGAGAATGAAAACAACATATCAAAATTTATGGGGAGCAGCTAGATCTCGAAATACTTAGAAATGTGTATTAGAAAGGAGAAAAGGCTTATGATATTGTGAAATACATATTTGGTCTTTGTCCCTGTTTCCTGGCATACAACTTCTAAAATCTTTGGAATCTCCCACATGGAAGTGTTTTCCTGTGCTAATGATTAAGTAATATCTGGTGGCCCCTACCTAGGTAGCTTCAGGTAGTGATGCCAAACCAAGGCATGATTAGAAGCCTGGGACTTTCAGCCTTACCCTTTAATCCCTGAGTTAATTATCAAAGGCCACTGATTTAATTAGCCATACCTACAGAAACACTCAAAAGAAGGCTGGCATGGTGACACACATCTGTAATCCCAGCACTCTGGGAGCCCAGTCTGGGGCAACTCAGTGAAATCCGGTCTCAAAGTAAAATTAAAAAGAGGCTAGTGATAGCTAGTGAAAAAATCTTGGGTCTAATCCCCAGTGCCTAACAAATAACAAGAAAAGAGTGGATTTAGAGAACTTCGGGACAGCTGAACACAGGGAGACTCCTGGAAGTGCTGCTGTGGAGAGGGCCTGGGAGCTTAGTGCTCCTTCCTGAATACCTCGCCTACCCCTCTCTTCACTTCGGCATTCGTGGGTGTTTTTAATAATAACCTGTACACGAAATGAAAATAAGTAAATATAAATGTTTCCCTAGGTGTCACGAGCTTCTCCAGCAGATTAATTTATCCCTAGGAGGGGGTTGTGGGAACCTCAAGTTATAGGCACAGGAAAAACCACTGGGGGCTTGTGACTGGCATCTGAAGGGGGAAAGCAGTCTTGGAACCTGTAAGGTCTGATGCTGCCTCCAGACAGAGAGTGTCAGAACTGGATCAGAGGATTCCCAGCTGGTGCCTGCTTCAGAATTGCTTGTGCTTGGAGTGTGGGGAAATCCACACACATTCAGTCTCAGAAGTCCGTGTTGATTGTGGTATAAGAGAAAGGAAAACTGCTTTTTCACAAGTCTCAAAAGCTTAAGCTTTTACTTAAAGAAAGTTAAAACACACACACACACACACACACACACACACACACACACACTCAGAGCTACTTAGGAGGCCGAAGAATGTTTGAGGACAGCCTGGGCAAGACTCTGTCTCAAAAGAAAAAATAAAAAGGGCTGAGTTATAGCTCAGTGGCAGAGTATCCCTGGGTTCAATCCCTAATACCACCAAAAGAAGAAGACAGAAGAGAAAGAGGAGAAAATGGAAGAGGAAAAGGAGAAGAAATTGAAAGTTTAAATATTCCTAGCCAGCCATAGAGGCACCCACCTGTAATCCCAACGCTTTGGGAGGTTGGAGCCAGAGGGTCATAAGTTTGAGCCCAGCCTGGGCAGTGTAATGACCTAGCAAGACCCTGTCTTAAAAGAAAAAAATAATAAAAGGGCTGGAGATATAGCCCATTTCAGTGATCCTGGGTTCAATCCTCAGTTTGAAGAAAATAAAAAGCACAGAAACCATACATAAAAGTGTGAGACTAAGAAAGGGGCCAGGGATTTAGCTCAGTGCTTCTACCGCCTACCTCCCAAGCACAAGGACCCCAGTTCGATCCCCAATACTAAAAAAAAGGGGCAAGATGGCTGAACTTTATATAGAGCTAAACAACGGGATGGGGGCTAGGGCTTCTGTGGGGAAGGGAGGTGACCCAGGCTATGGAAGATGGGGGCGGGGTATGCAGGGAGCAAGGACTTTGTTTTGTTTGGTACCAGGGATCAAATTTGGGACCTTGGGCCAGAGATTTAGCTTAGTGGTGCCACCACCTGCCTCTCACAAGCGCAAGGTCCCAAGTTTGTTTTGTTTTGTTTTTTTGGTACCGGGGATCGAACTCGGGTCCTTGTGCTTGCAAGACAGGTGGCGGAACCACTGAGCTAAATCCCCAGCCCAGGTTGTCTAGTTTTGCAGATCAAATCTCCCAGGTGACAGTCAACCTATGCTCAGCTCAAATCAGACTGCCTTCTGGGGCTAGGACCAGACATACCTTCCCAAAGAGCCTTTCCCAACAGGAGGGGCTATCAGATAGGAAAGCCTGTGCTGCACCTTCAGTTTCCTGATGTAGACTCCCTTTTACAAAAGGACAGTTTGGGGAGCCATGCCTGGCTCTGCACAGGTCTATAGTTTCTCTGAATGACCAACTCAAGATGTGCCAAAGAAATACATTTGGGGTAGATATTCTACTCCCACATAATATACTATATTAATACAATATAAAACCTACATGATCATCTCAATAGATGCAGGAAAAGCATTTGACAGTATCCAGTCCATTCATTATAAAAATTC